GTGGGTATGGACACCTCAGAAATAAACCTTCTACCCACTAGTTCATTCTGAACGGTACTATCAAATTAATTTCATCAGAACAATCATTTTGCCAGAAATTCCTTTCCCTAGTTAAGTAAAATTCCTTAGTCCAAAATGTTAGGTCCTTTCAAAATCTTTGTCAAGAGTCAAGAAAACTTGAACAGGTTTTGCAACCCCTGATTTTAATTCATTTAATTCTCAAATATTCCTTGAATGTTCACCAGGTGCCAGTCACTGCTCCACGTCTAGTGATACAGAAGGAAACAGGAGGGCCCCACTGTAAAGTTATACTTCCCACAAGGCAGTCCATTAGGGGCAGGGGCCAACCCCCCCAGGCACTGCCAGCTCCCCACAGGTAAGGGCTGAGGGCCCTCCAAAGTGAGAACCACTGGAAACACACTAGGCTGTGACCAGATAAGGCAGGAGTCTGGATTGGGGAGGGTTAGGGTTGAGTAAAGACATCACAGATCTGCCAGAGCACGACATTGTTCCCTAATCTATTTTTGCAGCCTGTTTCCCTTTCCTATCTTACTTGTTCTCCCAGCCAGCCAAACTATGCTCGCAACTCTGCTTCTGTTTCCTCTGAATGCCTTGGTTCCTTCCCCATACAACCAACAAAAGTTGAACAGCCTTCCAAGTCCACCTCAACTGCAGCCTGCTGGAGTGGCCTTTCCCCCTGCTCACACAAATGGTGATGTGAATTTTGGAGACTGACCTTTGGTTTGGCATCCTCTGCACTTATCACACTGTGCATTGTAACCTGTACTATTTGTACTTAACTTCTTCCATACTTATAAGCATGTGCTTTATTCTTGAAGTTACCTAGAAATGAGAGTTCACTGTCATATTATTCCATCATTAAAGTAACAACCAAATGCTAACTGTAAAATCTGCAGAAAAAATATTCAATGTTTTCCAATCCTTAAATTCTGCCGAGATACATCAGAAAGTACATTTGAAGCACATAAAATTCAGTGTTTTTTAACTAATATGACAATATGTGATCATCATTTTTAGTCACCCTAATCGTACCTACATTGGCAGGCAACCGCCCATTCCCTTTTTCATCGACAGCAACTACTAATCCTATTTCGCCGTACATTTCCTTATTCCATCCATTTCACATAAATGCAACCAAATGATCTTTTTTTCAGTACTGAGAATTGAACCCTTCACACTGATCTATTTCCCCAGGCCTTTTATTATTTTGAGATGGTTCTTGTGATTGTCACGCCTCAGCCTCCAAAAGTGCTTGGATTATAATCATGCAATACTGTACACAGCAAAACGGAGTCTAGCTTCATGTCATGTTCTTGCTAGCATGTCCAACCTTTTGTCTTGCCTAGGTGAACCGAGCAAAGAGGAATTACCTTGGCCACATATAAAGTACAGTTACTATAAATAAAATATATATTTCTGCAGAATATTATTTTTTTAAAAAAGGAGGTCAGCTAGGCATTGTGGCACATATTTGTAATCCCAGCATTTTGGAGGCTGAGGCTGGAGGTCAGATGTGAGTTCAAGGCCTGCCTAAACTGTGTGGTAAAATCCTGTCTCAAAAGGACTGGGGTGGGGGAAGGCAAATGGCCTCAGGCCACAGGCTAAATATACCTGACCCTATATTGTTCTTCAAACTCATCCATGTGTGGCATCCACCAGTACTTCATTTCTTTTTTATTGCCAATAATATTCCCTTGCATGAACACACATTTTACTTATTCATCAATTGATGAATGGACGTTTAGGCTGTTTCCACTTGCTTGCTACTATACACATCTGTGTACAACTTTTCATGCAGACATATGTTTTCATTTATCCTGGGTATATACCTAAGAATGGAAATGCTGCGTCACTGTGTTTAAAATTTTAAAGAATTACCAAACTTTTCCAATGTTACTATACCATTCTACAGTTCTCCCATTCTACCGTTCTTCTAGAAGAGTATGAAGTTTCCAAATTTATATATTGTTTGAGTTCTACAGAACAAGAACAATTTTGTTTCTGTATTGTTTGAATCTTCTTTAAAAAGACTTACATATTCTGGCTATATTCATCTATATTCAGACTTTTCAAAGAGTGGTTTTTTAAAATTCCAGGAACATAATGAGGTCACTCCTTGGGGTAAAACAATCTGTTACCTGGTGAAGTTACCTGGTTAAAATTCCTTTCTCCTTTTCCAGCTTGACCTCCCAAGCCTCTCCCCCTCCAGGCATTCTGAGCTCCTGCAAGCACCAGGACTCCTCCTCCCTCCACCTCAGTCATGATTCACATTCCCCACCAGAAGAAATACAACCAGTTCTTCAAGGCTCAAGGCAAACACCCTTCCCTTCTTGGCTCTTCTCTCCAGGCCGCTTTCCAGGGCAGGACTCAATCCTTCCCTCTGTGCTCCAGGAGCAATTGTGTATCTCTGATGTTGTATATCCCACCTAGTCCAAAACTACAATAAAATCATCCATGTCTTGGGCAAGGATGTTGTTATCTAACATCCTCTTCACCTCCCCCCAAGTACATACAGTCCTATGACTAGTTGCAAGTGTTGAAAGTTCATTTTAAAATAATATCTATTTTAGCACTATTTGCTACAACACGATGCCAAGTCATTACAAAAATTAAGCTCCCTCTGGAGACAGGGTAGAGGTAGACGTCTTTCCAAATTCAAACCGAATTCTTTAGTAAACAATCTTTAATAACACTATATTACCCCTTATTTAAAGGAGACGCTTTCACTTTCATTACCTATTCAAGAATTGGCCGATTCCTGCACCTCTATCTAAAGTTCATAATTAATAAATATCACCAAGAATTTACGTCTCTAAAGTACACAGAAGAGCCGGGCATGGTGAGCACAATGTAATCCCAGCACTCCAGAGGCTGAGGCAGGAGGATACCTGAAAATTCGAGACCAGTCTGGGCTACAAAAGTGAGCTCAAGGTCAGCCAGAACTGCACAGCGAGGCTCTGTCTCAAAAAGATAAAAGAAAGAGAGAGAGAGAGAGAGAGAGAGAGAGAGAGAGAGAGAAAGAAAAAACAGGAACAGAGAAGGTGAAAAAGCTCACACAACTAACAACAAAAGTGATTAGTCTATGTGATTAGTCTATCCAGCAGCTACTAACAAAACACATCTGAATATCAGTACCTTCAAAAGCATCTGATGGTAAGTGGCATGTAGTAAACACTCAAAATATTTGAACTCATGAAGATGATTTACATGGCTTTTAACTGTGGCAGTCTGCTCTTTTTTTTTTTTTTTTTAAGAAAGTAAAGCTGATTGTTAATCGCGCAGATCACATTAACAAATACTTTCAAACTCACTGTGCATTTAAAGTTATAAAACAAGAACACACAACCAAAAGTTCTGCTCTTAGAAATGACCCTGACTAGAAACTATCTCAAAAGTCATTTTTTCCTTCTGTGTCCAGAGGCCTGATAGACTAAACATTATAGTTGCCCCTATTTTCTAAGTTCAACTTGCATTTAAGATAACGCTTTTGTTTCATTTACAGCTCACATGTTGCTGACACAGCTGCCCCTTCTTTGTAATAAACACAGGGCTTCTATATTTAAAAATACAGTGAAACTTTGTTGTAACATCCCCTCCCCAGTCTCTGGCCAATTTCTCTCTTCCAAGCTCCACCTCCACTCCAGGATTTTTTAATCATTAGTCTTTTGGAAAGTTAATTTTCTTCTTTAAAGACATCACACCACAGTGGTGTATTTCTGCTCTGCAGCTCACTGTGCTTGTTTTACGGGGGAGAGAGGGAGGGTCTCTTCCCAAAACCCGGGGTGCTTTACAGAGACGAGCGTCAGGCTACCCGGCCGCGCTGGCCTGCCTCGCGGCTGGCCGGGGCGAACACGGCCGCCGGGGGCGGTGGAGGGGACTGAGGACCGTGCGACCTCCCCGGGGGGTACCGCACAGGAGGTCTCGTCAACGCCCTGCAGACGCCCCCCGGGGGGGAACACTCGCCCCGCACCTCCCCGAAGTCCGCGGGGGCAGCCGGGCTGGGTGTGGGCCTGAGAGGGGAACGGGGAGGAGATAAGCCGGGCCGCGGTTAATCATCACCCCGGAGCGTCTGGAAGGCTACGCGCCGGAGCCGGCGAGGCGGGGGAGCAGCCCCGGAGAAAGTGAAACTCCCTCCCGCACGGCCCCGCGCTCCGAGCGCCCACAGCTGCGGACCAGCGGACGGCGCCACCAAAAACCACACGGATGCGTTTCCCACAAGCTCACTCTAACGGGACTGAGGAAAACTGGCCAAAGCCACAGAAGATAAATAAGTGCGTTCCCCAAAATCGATGTTTAAAAAGCAGTACACCATTCCCATACCGGGAGTCGAACCCGGGCCGCCTGGGTGAAAACCAGGAATCCTAACCGCTAGACCATATGGGAAGTGCTAGGGAGGGCGCGCCCGTAACTCACCTGACAAGAGCAGGCGCCGCCGCCACCTCGGCTACGCGGCCCCTCGCCGTTCCCGCCGCCGCCGCCGCCGCCGGCTCTCCGACGCCGAGCCGCAGCCGCGCTGTCCACCCGCGGGAACGAGCCCGGCCGGCGCGCGCGGGCGTCGTGGGAGAGGCGGGGCCGCGCCGCGTCTCACGAAAGTTCTACGGCGAAGTCCCGCGACTCTCCGGGACCCGGGGCCAGCGATTTCAGCTTTAACTCCGACAACGGCCCCCAGCCCACAGGTCCGGGTGACTCCGGGTGACCACTCCGTGGTCAAAGTGCGTGCAGACTAGTTGGCAAAGTAGAGGGCGGCGACGTCTACTGGGAACAGCTGTTTGCGTTCGGGGTGGAGGCGGCGCGCGAGCTCCTTGGCCGGCAGCCAGCGAGCCTAGGACAGTGGTGGTTCTGAACCTCAGGGAGGACAGAGAGAAAGCCGGGCTGGCGCGGGGCTTTGAGTTCCTATCCCTCGCCTCAGGTCCCGTCGCGCCTTCGCCCCTTCTCGGTGACCTCAACCCCTTTAATACCAACCCCACCCCTCAGAAGTGGAGAGCGCCGCCCCTGTGGGGGGAGGGGGAAAGGAGGAGATTTCAAACGCGGATTGAGTCTTCTGGGTACCCGTAGAAGGGAACCGTGGACCGCCGGTCCCGGGCTTGGGGAGAGGTGGCAGTGCACTGAGTTGTTTTTGGGTGGGCCACGCGGCGGGCTTGCGCCGCTTGACGACGCGCGGAGCGGCTGGCGCAGTCATGTGAGTGAGTTTGGTCTCAGGCCCTAAACAACGAAATGTTTCTTCGGGCCGCTGTCTCCCCCCGGGATCTCCACCCCTTGTCGTCCTTGGTTGTAGGCGTGACGGATTCGGATTTAACTCGCGTGAGACCGGCTCCTGAACTGCTGGGCCGGTTTTCTGGGCAGGGAAGAAATGCTACCCTGTGGAGCGCCCTGGGTGCGAGCCTCAGGGGTCTAGGCTGGGAGGTTGGGCCGGTTACGGTGGCGGAATTGGATGGCCGGTACGGGGAGGGGTGGACGCGGCGCCGTCCCTAGCTGCGTGGTCAAGGGTGGCGGGCGCTCTCTTGTCGGTTCCGAAGACGCTTAAACCTCGAGGTATTGTAGAGCTTTGGTGTTGCACTCTGGCCACCGCTGTCCACTTCAGAAGGCCGCTTCTGGATAGTGTAATGATTTTCATTTGATCGGCGAGGTCTTTTGGCTTTTGCGGCTCTTGGCCCTGGGGCTCAAGAACAACCTATAGTAACTGATCGTCTTGGAGGAAACACAGTCTTTTCCACAAAGTAGTTTTGTGTTTTGTTCTTTTGATGAAAGTAAATTTAAGATCAATTTGAGTTTTCTCGCAGGCCTCATTACCGCGCCCATCCCACCACCACAAAATCAGAAAGGACCGGGAAGGATGGTTTGTCTTTGAGACGTTCCTTGTTTCTTAATACTTATAGTGACAAAAATTTAAAAAATGTTTAATTATTTTATTTAAAGCAACTTATAATAAATCCCCTGCTGACCTTTCCTGTTCTACTGACAACAAAGTTTTAGTCGACTTGCCTGCTCTAGGTAAATAATAAATCAGGGAGCCTTGTTAGCAGAATTCTGTAGCCGAAGCATACACAATAGATGAAACTAAAGCGTGCACAATTCTACCTTAACTTTGAAAAACCTTAAACTTCTTTTCCTTTTTTCAGGGCCGACTACTGGAAGTCACAGCCAAAGAAATTCTGTGATTACTGCAAGTGCTGGATAGCAGACAATAGGCCTGTAAGCTGGTTCCACTCTCAGAGATCTTTATAATGTTATGTATATGGCCTATTGCTTTTTGATCTATGTTCAGAGTTTACAGAGCACTTTCATATACACCGCTTCAAAACATCGAAAAATTTTTAATGTCATATCATTTCCTTTAAGAAAGCATGAGCCTCCATCCTTTTCATCAAACTGTATTTGATTGTGAAGCAGAATTATTTCTGTGGCCTTTCTGGAAATGACCAACTAGTGGATAATCTTATCCTGTGTTTATTATTATTAAACAACTACTGTTAAACAGTATAATGCTGGTGTTTGTAGAATTATCATATATAGTACTGCAGTAAAAATGGGAAAGCCCGAAAAATATCAAAAGATTGTACTAGTATTTCTTACATTTCCTGTTCTACAGATGTTTGAACATATCTCTTCTTGTAAATTAAAATAACTTTCAAAAAAGATAAAATTGATTAATTTTAATGCAAACTGGTCCCTTTTATCAAATGATGCTAGGGAACTGAACCTCCTTTATTATACCTTCTGACTGGATTTCACTTACAACCAGACACTTGAAATTTAGGAAGAATTTCAGGTTGTTTAGATAGATAGTAATAGTCACTTATCCATCCCCTTCCCATCCATCCTAGTTATCACACAGTTTACCATTTTTTTACTTTTCTGTTTATCTTTTTATTGTTTTCATATGCATATAGATATTCTTATACCATCCTACACAAAAGGTGACATTGTGTATATATTCTTTCCTACACCATAGTTTTTAAGAATCACAATATTGGCTTTTCTGTATACATACATAGATTTCAAGCTTCTATATTTTCTGTTACAGCAGCCTATGTGACTGTACCACATTTTATTTATTTAATTTATTATTTTAATAATAAATTAAAATTTATTTTACCAAGCCCCTAGATGGACACATGGACTGTTAGCACAAACAGTGTTACACAGTAAATAACCGTATATGTGACATTTTGTACATACACAGGCATATCTGTGAAATAAATATCCACAAATGGGATTGTTTGATTAAAGAGTAATTGTAATTTTTATAGATATTCTAAAAGTGTTCATAGGAATTGTGCATTTTTTTAGCATCACTACCTTGAATAAAAGTGTTTGTTTATACTTTTTTAATTGTCTGAATTTTAAATGTCTCTTTATTAGAATTTTGAGGAAGACATTCAAGATCATTGTCCTTTAAGTTACCAAATAGAATGATAAAATTCTGGAGATTTACTGGTTTTGATGTTTGATGTTGAAAAGTGTTTCTTTCAAAAATTTTCCACTTTTTTTGTTTCATGTTTGAAGTCTTTTTAATTATAGTCACTAGACTAGTTAATGTGTATCTTGTATTTTTCTCCCATTAATATGGTCATCCTGTTTTATTTTAAGAACCAAAGTAAAATCTAGTTAGAAAGTATAATAAATGAGGTTCAAATATGCTAGCATTATTTAGTAAAACGGACCAGTTTGCATTAAAGTTAATGAGTTTTAATCTTCTCTGCAAATCATTTTAATTTGTTTGCTTATATGCCATTCATATATTGTATTTACTGTGGGTTTTATTATACTTACGTAACTTTCCTTTGTTTTTTTCTCTTTTTTTGTTTCATTTAGAGTGTTGAATTTCATGAGAGGGGAAAGAATCATAAGGAAAATGTGGCAAAGAGAATCAGTGAGGTAATACAGATTGGTTCTTTGCTAGTTTTTCTATATAAATATCAATATTTTTATCTTATTTTTACCTTTATACATGTCCTCCATAGATTAAACAAAAGAGCCTGGATAAGGCAAAAGAAGAAGAAAAGGCATCAAAGGAGTTTGCTGCAATGGAAGCAGCTGCCCTGAAAGCATACCAAGAAGATTTGAAAAGGCTTGGCTTAGAGTCAGGTAAAATGAACAGCCATCATGTTTTAAAAGTAACATGAGCTTTTGTTGGTTGCATAAAGAAGTTATATACTCAGAGTGTACTCTGCTTTTTTTATACCCTATTTAAACTATAAGATTTACTTATGCACTTTTACTTTGATTTTAATACTTCCTGTATTAACCATACTACCTTTGCAACTCCACTCCTACCTCTGTCCTAGCTGAGTAGTTAATTTCAGAGGTGCTTCGAGTGTTCTAAGTGTTATCATTATTCAGCTTCAACGTAGCTGTTGACTAAAAAGTAATCCTTGCAGGAGATGGAAAAGATCAAAGTATGTTATGTGCATATATGACTGCCAAAATGAAACCTATTAGTTTAAATAGCCAATAAAAAGAGTGGAAAAAAATCTTGCAAAAAAAAAAAAAACCCTAGCATAATTAATGATCATTTTATCTATATGGCCAAAATTATAAATCATCTATTTTTATGGCTGAAAATATAATAAAGTAGCCTTTTACAGACAATTTACTGTACTACTACAAGACAGTTTATTTTGAGTTGAAAATAAAGTTCCAGGTAACAGGTATTTTCACTATCTATCATGTAATTGAACTGAGACTGTAATCTGGGGAACTTTAGGGAGCATTTCTTCCTTGAGAAATCCATTGTTTTCAACACAAGCATATAGCAGATCTCAGTTGATCTGGCATAATCAACTTAGAATACTATTATTATATTTTCTTCCAGTACTAGGGATTAAACCCAGTGCCTTTGCCCTGAGTTACATCACCAGCCTTTTTTGTTTTTGTTACTTGAGACAGGGTCTCACTAAGTTGCTAAATTGTCCCAGCTAGCCTCAAACTTTTGATCCTGTCCTTCATCTCCCAGATTTCTGGGATTACAGGTATACACTACCAAGCCCAGCTAGAATGCTATTCTTAATCTCTAATAAAAGCAGCTTTCAATTAAAATTTTAAGCAGAATACCAATTGACATTGTGTTTGTTAAATAAGAGCAACTATATTTGGACCTTTCTTTGGTGATAGTGTCTGTCCAGGGATTGAACTCATAACCTTTGTTGTGAGCTACATCTCCATTTCTTTCTTTTAGTTTTGCTTTTAGAGTTTAGATAGCTTCTTACTAACTTGTTCAGGCTGGTCTCAATCTTAATGATGCTTTTGCCTCAGCCTTCTATGTAACTGTGATTACAGACATACCTAGTCTTTCATATTGTCTCTTAAAATATTATTTTGAACATTAGTAGTTAAGGAAGGTAAAAGAAATGTATGGTTCTGTGAAAGCATTTTGAGAGAGGAAAAAAATCGTTGGTGTTCTGGGAAATTGGAAATAGTCAAAAATTCACCTTTTATCTATTACATGAATTAAAAGTACAGCAATACAATACACTGTGCTAAGATTGCTGCAGATATCTTTAAAATTCTTTTAATGTTGCATTTGTGCCGTGATCTATTTGGAGGCTTCCTCAATGACAGTTAAATAGGTCTTTTAAATAAAAGCACATGGGGCTGGGGATTTAGCTCAGCGCATAAGCACCTGCCTTGCAAGCAGGCAGTCGTGAGTTCTATCCCCGGTACCGATAAAAAAAAAAAAAAAGCACAACATTCTTTAGTAGCTGTGGAATACGAGCACAGTCTTTGTGGTCAAACAGAATTGCCTCTCGCTAGTTATATAACCATGGAATTTTACTAAAATAACATGGTACAAATTGCTTATTACAGTGACCATATGTAGTAAGTTACATAAAGGTATACTATAGTTTATTTAACTAATTTCCTGGTCAACAGTTAGTTTGCTTAGAATTTTTCACAGGGACAAGGAGTGCTGTAGTATATTTCATTATGTAGGTATCTTTTCACATTTTCCATGTGGGTTCAGTTTCCAACCACAGATCATAGTAATATAAAAGTATGGATATACCTTATATATTGTAGATAATATTAAGTTGGGCTAGTGTACACTTTCATGAGGAAAAACAACTATTAACTAATGTTGGAAATACAGTACGTCCAAGTAGATACCTGATATATCAGACTAGCATAGGATTTGATCATTCTCTGAACTCATTGATCTACCAAAAACAAATACATTTTGTTTGCATTTTTTTTGCTGTGAAGGTAAACATTTGTTCTCTTGAGTTTGTTTGTACCACTGTACAATTCTTTCCACAATTCTGGTTGCAAACCAAATTGGATGAGAACCAAATCAAAGTCAGTGGTTAGGTTCAATGTTGACCTTATGTAGAAATTTAATTCTGTTCTCCACCAATGTAGTTTATGATCAAAATTATGAAAAGAATTAAGTTCGTGAACCAAACTGTTGCTGTGCTTTTGTCTGCTTTCCTATTGGAATGTTTGATTTGTAGGGAATCGTTGTTAGAAATGTTAACTTATATTCACTACAAATATTTTCCTCATATGTATATGTAAAATACAATACAAAGAAAAGAGATTAAAATTCTTTTGTTTTTGCCATACAGAAAGATCTTAATTTTTTTTTCCTAAAATCTCAGTGTTGAAAGATCTTAATTTTTATGTAGCTAAGTTTAGCATTCTTATACTTTGTGTGGCTCCCCCACCAACACTTGAATTAAAGGGCCTTTCTACTGAGCTACATCTCCTACTCTTTTTTTTTTTTTTTTAATTTTAATTTTGAGACAAAGTCTAAGTTGCATAAGTGGAATTAAACTTGCAGTCCTTCTGCCTCAGGCTCCCGGAGTACTGGAGTTAAAGGCATATACCACTACACCCTGGCTTTAGAATAAGTTTTAAAATAATGTCTAAAGTCCTGGAAAGAATCTATTAGACTTTTGAGTAAAGTAACATTATTAAAATATTATGACAGAAAAAAAGTTATTTCAGCATCTTTACCCTTCTCTCATTTTTTTCTAGATACCTCAGTGCCAAGCGTGTCACCAGTACCCAGCACTACCCCACCTCCCCCTGCATCAAATCAACCGAAAGAAAAGAAGAAGAAAAAAAAAGATCCTTCAAAGGGTAGATGGGTAGAAGGTGTAACCTCTGAGGGTTACTGTTACTATTATGATCTTATCACAGGAGGCAAGTCACTTAATCCCTTCTAGAAGAGAATAATTCCATTAGTGAAACAGAACAGTTTTTGTTTAGAATTTTTATTTGCTATTGAACATTTTAAATAATAAGAGACACTACTCTTTTGTTTTTTTGTACCGGGGACTTATACTTTGCAAGCAGGCAGTCGTGAGTTCGATCCCCGGTACCGATAAAAACGAAAAAGACAAAAAAAAAAAAACAATATGAACCACAAAATAAGGTTTGAAAATGCAAAGCCTAGAAAATTAATGAGTGGGGGTAAAATATAGGGTTCTTTAAAGATGTCAAAACAGAAGTATGAGACTGGAAAAATAGGTTAGGGCTATATTATGGGAAGCTGGGAGAACAATGGCATGATTTGCTGGGATATGAATTACAGGAAACAGAAATAAGTTTAAGTGGGAGAATAATGAATTCAATTTTGTATAATGCTCATTTCGAGGTACCTGTAGAGCATGTGGCAATTTTCAGTAGCTAATTGAGAGTCTGGAGTTAGGATTGCTAAATAGAGTGGGGATATAGATAATAGTATTAATGGCAATAAGTATATGAGATTACAGAGACTAGAGCAACAAAGAGTGAGTAGTACATATATTAAAGAAATGGATAGTAGAAAAGCCAATGAAAAACAGTGTCAAGAAGGTAGGGTATGAAGCTGGACATGGTGGTACACACTGTATTCCCAGCACTCTGAAGGCTAAGGCAGGAGGATTATGAATTTGAGGCTACATACGACAAGAACATCTCAAAAAGAAGATAGGAAATTAGATAAAGTAATGGAAAAACCTAGAGATGACAATATTATTTAATTATTGCCCTTTAAAATCAGTTTTAGACTGCATAGAAATAATGTTGCAGAATTTGACCTAAACCTTAAGTGAAATGTATATTGTAGTTCAGCAATGAAGAGAACCATCAGTGTGTACTAGGGATGAGATATCTTTCTCAAATATACTTAGAAACAATTTCTTTTTTCCTTTCTAGTATTTCCTTCACCATCCTACTTACATACTCTTACCTTCAGCAATACATGTTTTTTGATTCCTGCACACTTTATCTTGTTCCTCTTCAAAGTCCATTTTATTTCGTCTCTCACTGTCCCTTGCCCCAATATAACACAAAAGCTATTTCCTTCCTTCAAAATTTGCCATGCCTAAATTCCAGTGAACTCATCAAGAGAAGCCCTACCTCGACCTCACTCTTAGTAATTCCATAGAAATTCTAGTAACTTCTTATTCTTCATTCTGTTATTTTTTAGTTCCATAGAGTTTACCTGTATTCTAAACAATACTGCTGGAATGTATGTTTGTTTGATTTTCAATTATTTGCTACACTGGTATATCTGTTATTTTTTGCCAAATATTTTGGAGTTGTTTTTAAGCAAAAAACGTTTATAAACATCATATATTTTGCTTTTAGCATCTCAATGGGAGAAACCTGAAGGCTTTCAAGGAAATTTAAAAAAGGTAACTAAAGTACATTGGTAGTGTTTTAACTTTATTCTTTAAAATGATTAACTTTTGGGCTTTGTGTGAGCAGATTTACTTCCAAAAAAGCATACCCACCCATCCTTTCTTCCTTAATTCTTTTGTTAGAAGGTTGGATGGAAATAAAACAGTGGTATTGGTTCACAAACCCCATCCATGTAGATACTAGTTGGTTTGTGGTCAGTTGCCATCCAGATATTCTTGTCTGTCTGGAAGGGATTCCTGGCTTTCAGAAGTGAGATATTCTCTACTTGGATACTGGTACATGATTATCACAAACCAGGTTCCCTAATCAGGATTATCACCATCCCCAACTTCCAGATGTCGGGTGGAAAGGAATGGGTATCTTGGATGTTCAGTACATAATCATTATCTTCAGTTTATTCTAGTTTTTTTTTCCTCCTATTAGACAGCAGCAAAAGCCATTTGGGTAGAAGGTTTAAGTGAGGATGGTTATAGCTATTACTATAATACAGAAACAGGAGGTAAGTGTTATCTTTGACCATTTTAACTATCTAAATTATCCCTAAAACTGCTTATTAATCTGCTGACAAAATATCTGAAGATGAGAATTTTAGCATTAAATAATCAATTCTATAGCAAGCATATATTGTTTTTTATAAGTTAAAATCATTAATGCAGTAGAAAAGCAAGAAGATTCATCATGTATTATGGTATACAGCAATGGTGTTCTTAAAGCATATAGCATATGCAAATTTGAATCATTTTGACGACTTACTCGTTTTACTATGATTATTTTATAAACGTAATTTTCTTAGAAGGTACCTTACCTACTTCAACTTTTTTTCCTTTGATTTTGGAAATTAAACCCAGAGTCTCATGCTTGTTCTATCACTGAGCTGTATCCTGCAAAACCTCAACTTTCTTTTTCCTTTTTAAAAACCAAAATAAGCTATTTTAGCCATGACTACAGTTGTCAAATTTCCACTTTGACTAATTTAATGTTTTGAGTACATAAATATTTATGAAACATGCATGTTACTAGTTAGCTGAATTTTTCAAATGAATATTGTACCTAATTTCATTAAAGTTTTAAAATAATTGTACTTGGTTTTCTACTGTCATTAAATTTGCTGAAATGCCTATATTATTGATACAACTTGGGGAAAAGTTTTGTTTTTGTTTTAATTTCTACTATCCATAGGGGCTGGGGATTTAGCTCAGCGGCATAAGCGCCTGCCTTGCAAGCGGGCAGTCGTGAGTTTGATCCCCGGTACCGATGAAAAAGACCAAAAAAAAAAAAAAAAATTTCTACTATCCAAAACCTTCTAAATAGCATTAAACAGCAGTGTTTCTCTTTTAGTAAAATTAAACTGAATCTTTAATATAGTAATATAACATGGCTCTAGAATTAGAGCTAAGTTCAGTACACAACTTCTCTTACTAGTGACGTGATTATGGACAACTCTGATATCTATAAATTTATAAAATAGTACCTACTATATTCTCTGTGCTTAATTATTTGTATCTTGAAATTTCTCTTTGTTACTTGAGTGAAATCTGGATAAGGAAAAGGAGTCTTTTTGGTTAGTATCTACATGTTTTAAAGGGCTATACTTAATGACTTCAGCTTATGCCTATAACAAGGTAATTATTAGTAACAATTCTTTTTACTCTAAAACTATCTCAGTTGGTCAGTAAATTATGGAGCCTCCCTTTTATTAAGCTAAAAATAGAGATCTCCAAGACAATTAGATGCGCTTTCATTTTACAAAAAGTACCATGGACCACTAGATGGCAGTAGAATTCAATCAAGGTTTATTCCCCCAATGAAAATGACAAATTATATTGCTTCAGATTTTCATGTTATGATTTCATTTTATGGAAATCCCAGAACAATATTTGTGATAGTAAAGTTTAGGAAGTCTCATCACTTTCATTGTGTTTTCTGAAATTATTGTCAGATAAATTGTGTGAGTCCTTAAACTATCACCCAGTCATGTCTCTTCTAATTGAAGTTATAGTTTATATAACTAGTAAATCTGGCTTTGTAAATTAAAATCAATTTCTGAAAGATATAAGAACCAGAGATTTAAGAACCATTATTTATCTTTTTGGTCAAGTATTAGCATGAAGTGAATACAGTATTGCAGAAGTCACCGTCAAATTATAAGATCATGTGCATGTGAAAGAAATATTCATTGCTAGTATTGCTGAAATGCAAAAAAAAAAAAAACAAACTCATTTAACCAGCAGTGCACAAACATAGCTACTCATGACCTTAAATATGTAATAAAAAGTGTTTCTGTCAGATCAGCAACCTACTAAGGGTTAAAAATTACAAATGAGAGAAAGTATTAGGATTCAGTCATGGGTGGTAGTGCTTGCCTGTAATTTTAACACTAGGATGCTGAGGCAGGGAATCATTGGATTCAAGGCCAGCCTGGGCCGATAGTGAGTTCAAGGCCAGCCTGAACTACATAGTGAGACACTATCTCAAAAACACCAATAAATAAATAAATAAATACAATTTTTTTTAAGAAGTGCTAGAATTGATATATAAATAGTGTATTATTACTATATCTACATCTCTCCCCCAAAACTTCATGCAGCATAGACGGGGCTTTTTCAGAGGTAGCTAGATCTAGAATGTGTGATGCTGGTGTCAATTCATGAAGCACTAGTAGGATCAAGGGCACTAGGATTAAGGATGTGACTGCTACCCACCCTTAGTAACCTGGATAAAGTATAAGGGATAGAAAGAGCTGTAGTTGTGCCCTGTTCCTTTGCTACCTTCTATCTGCCATGAACTGTTCCTCTGCAATGCCACCTGCCTTGGAGCCAGCTGATTATGGACTGAAACTTCCACAAATTGTAAACTAAATAAAGCTTTCTCCCTTTAACTTTGGGCATTGGATATTTTGTCTCACAAATGAGAAGAGTAACTAATACATTAGCATGTCTTAAAATGTGTTGAGCAGGATCCAAATGGAAAAAACATGTCTCTCTCAGGCTAGCGACCTCCTAAAGGTTAATGATTGAAAGTGTTAGAATCGGTAAATAAGTAACATGACTATTAAAAAATGTGTTGAGCAGAATCCAAATGGGAAAAACCTGATGATTTCATTCCACACACTGGTAGTATGCCTTCTAGTAAGGTTGATGAAAAGCCAGTTGGCACCTTAGAAGAATCTGAATCATCAGATAGTAAATCCGATGGAGAACAAGACTCAAAAGGAGAAGTCTCTACAGAAACAAAACAGCTAAAAATAAAATTTAAGGTAAGTTCTTGATTTACTTATCACAAAAATTATCAATTTATAAGAAAGCTCAATAGACCTTCAGTCTTCTGGTGTAAGATAAAAATAAAGCCAGGACATGTTTAGAGTTTCTCTCCCCTATCCTTGATTCTGCTTTTCATGCCATGGACAATGAAGATATGAAAATATGAAATGGAAAATTCCAGAAATAATTGTAAGTTTTAAATCACATGCTTTTCTGAGTAGTATGATGAAATTTTTCTATTAATATTAATCCCTTACTATACCAAATTTTTATATTGAACTTTATCATAGAAATGCATGCTAAGGGAAAAATTTAATATCTCTAGGGTTTAATACTACCTGGTTTCAAGTATCAACTGATGATTTCATGTATTCCCAAAAATGGGCCTGTTGTGTTTTGGAAGCTAGATAAATTGTTGTACTATTTACTGATATGTTTTGAGAGACAAAATACTAATTTCATTTGAGACTGTAAGTTTTAAAGTATATTTTTCTTTTGTAAATGCTGGACAAACCAAGCTTAAAAGCAAACAGACAAATGATTGGATAGATCTGTGGAAGTATTTTGGTCCTATGCAATAAACAAGCATAGAGACAAGTATTTTTAGGATGTTAGCAAATAGGTACTTAAAAGTGATTCCTATTAGTAGGATGTAGTCTAGAGGAAACCAACAATCTCAAAACACAAGGAAAAATTAAAACTGTTACAAGTGGCAGTGGGGTAGGTGTTACAGTTTATGTCTGAATGTCCCCCCAAAACCGTGTATAGTCATAGGCGCACACCTACAGAATTTGTGATTGATTTGTGTATGCTGATTGATTTTTATAATTGATTTGTGCAATTGGTTCATGGATGCTGCTCCCCTAGTTCTGTGATACCAGTCACATGGAGGACTGAGCTGACATCTTTTCAAAGAGTTGCAAAGGAAACTACCCCAGGCCAATCACTCATTGTTGTACAGTTTGCAGACAGGTTTAAATCCAGCATGTGGTCCACTTGCCAATCTAGATTACAGGGTTTTATTATTCTAGATTAATAGATGCCATAAAGCACCTGCCTGACTCAGGGACTTCTGAATGGGTTGCTTCTGCCCCAGGGAGTATCTTTCACATTTGTACAAAGTTGTACAGGCCAGTAAGGCTTTGGCAGTGTCCTCAAAATGAAGGTGGATTTCAGTTAAGACTAACCGGTTCAAGTTCTTTGAAATAGATAACAGTTGTAGAAGCGTCTGATGACATGGCATCAAATCCAAAAGAGGTACTGTATAAAGAGAAGATTCTGTTGTAACTGAAGTAAGGAAACAGAAAGTAGTCTTACTTCCATACCCTTAATTGTACAACTCATGGCATTAATAGAATCTTATATTATTTTAAAATATATAGCATTGAACATAGTGTATTAACATTTCAGATATAATTTAAAAAATATAATCAAACATTAGAGTTCTTACAGTATACATTATTAATGTACATGCAGATTTAAACTATAGTACTAAGTTAATATATTTTGATAAATCTGTAATAAAATTTTTAAAAGAAATTTTTTGTGTGGTCCTAGGGGCTCGGGATTTAGCTCAGTGGCATAAGCACCTGCCTTGCAAGCACGCAATCATGAGTTCGATCCCTGGTACTGATTTTTAAAAAAAGTTTTTTGTTTGGTCCTGGCAATTTTGTTTGAAGTATATTATTTGACTTTTATATTTCAGGAAAAGAATAAAAATAGTGTTGAAGAAAAAGCCCCAAAAATCCAGAAAGAAAAAAGTGTCCAAAAACAGAATTCATCAGGTCCAAATGAAGAAAAATCCAAAACTTTGAAAAAGTCAAACCCGTATGGAGAATGGCAAGAAATTAAGCAAGAAATTAAGTCTGAGTAAGGACTTGAGACTTTAACCCACCGTTATTACAAACATTATCCACATCAATTCTTTCACAGCTTGTAATTGTTGATTTCAAGAGTACTATAATAGTAATACTTTTCTTGCATTTCTAGAGTGGTTTTTATTTTTTATAATGAAATATTTTTAAAAGTAAGTTATCTTTAAAAGTAAACTAATGATATATATACTAAGATTAACCTGAAAAAAGCTTAGTTCCTGTGAAAACTTGACTTTTTGATGAATTTAAATTTTTATTGGCATGTTTGTAATATGTAATGATTGCATTCCCTGTGGGAAATTGGTACATGCATATAACACATCTTAATTCTTTTTTCCATCTCCTTCCTCTAATCCGTTCCCCTTCCATCTCTTGGTCCCCTTACCTTTTGCAAAAGATCTATCTCCCTGCATACTGCTGTGTTTCATTTTGCTCTTTATTTATGATTTGGATTTCTCCCATAAGAGAAACTATGCAGTATTTATTTCACTTAAAGTGGTCTCAAGGTGCATCCATTTTCCTTACAGATGATTCAAGTTTATCCTTCTTTGTGGCGAAGTAGTATTCCACACAGGCCACTTCCCAAGATTTAGCTATTTCGAGTTGTTCTGCTATAAACATGATTATGCGTATATCACTGTAATATAATGTCTTTAACTCTTTTGGAGAGATGCCTAGAAAGAGAATAGCTGAGTCACATGGAATTTCCAATTTGAATTTTTTGAGGAATCTCCACACTGATTTCCATAATGATTGTACCAGCTTACATTTCCACCAACAGTGTAGTAGGATTCCTTTTGCTCTGAAAGTTTGCCAGCATTTGTTTGAGTTCTTGATGATAGTCATTCTTTCTGGAGTAACATAGACTTTAATTTGTATTTCTCTAATGGCCAGTAATATTGAACATACGTTCATGAATTTATTAGTCATTTGTACTATTACTTCTTCAGTCTGAGAAGTGTCTATTCATTTTACTTGCCTATTTTTTGATTAGTTCTTTTATTTTGGGGACTTTCTTTGTATGTTATAGTATTAGTCCTCTGAGGGATAGCTGGCAGAAGTATTTTTCCTTTCTATAGGTTGTTCCTTTTTAAAATTTTTTTATTTTAAAGAGAATAGAACAAAAGAGAACAGAACAAAGCAAATCAGAACAGAACACAGCACTTCAAAATAAGACAACCAGATATCAACAGTAGCTACCATAATGTCTCTTTTCTTTGAAATAGTTGAGCATACCTTCACATACAATAATATCAAACATAACAAAATAGTATAAAACCATTCAAGAGAATGAAAGTACTATAAGACTTCAAAACCAAATAATAGGAAGTGAACAATGGCTACTATAATATGTCCTTAAAAAATTTGTTTACACCATCACACATCATAAAATCAAATAAGACACAACAAGATAGAACCAGTCAAAACAGAAGAACATTTAAAAAAAAAAAAAAAAAGCATGGTAGAACTTCAAAACAAGATGATAGTAAATCAGCATGGCTGCCATAATGTCTTTTCTTCAAAATAGTTGTTCATACCATCACACATAATAAAATCAAAACAATAAAACCAGTCAAACCAATGAATGCATTATAAGTCTTCAAAGCAATAAAATAGGAATCCATGATTACCATAAAATATTCAAAATAGCTGTCCCTACCATCTGACAACATATAATTAACAAAACAAAACAGAACAAAGCCAAACTTAACAAAATTGTGTAAACAATGCAAGAGTTCAAGGTAAGAAAATAAGAATTGACAGTAGTTTCCACCTTTCCCTCCCAGGTATTTCCTCCCCTTTGCTTTACTTTTGGATCGCATTAACTCCTTGTGTTTCTTATACTAGGGTTCACCTATGAGTTCGAACTGTTTCATGAACATGATCTCCAGTTGCGTCCATTTACCTACTGGAGCCTTGAGATTGTTCTGCTTTATAGCTGGGTAGCTTTCCAGTGCATGAAAATACCATATCTTTCTTATCCATTCTGCAGTTGATGGGCAAGTTACTCTTGCTTTTTTTTTTTTTCTGGTCTCCTGTCACATGGAACAATTGTTTTTTCTTCAGTTTTTAATTCTTTTTTGTATACAGCATATTGATGGATCTTGTTTCTTGATCCACTTTCCCTGTGTTTCTTTTTATTACTGACCTGAGGCCATCTACATTAATGGTTACAATCAGCATACATTGGTTTGTCTCTGCCCTGCTATCCTCCTGTTGTTAGCCCTCCACTTTTCCCCTTCAATCAGATCTTACCTGTCTTGTTTGGCGCTCTTCCTCTGCTGCTGTTCCTGGAACCATGGTCATCTTTATCTCTCTTTAGAATATTCTTTAGCACTCTCTGTAGGGTTGGTTTGGTAGTCATAAATTCCTTCAATTGTTCTTTATTATGGAAGTATCTTATTTTTCTATCAATTTTGAAAAATAGTTTTTCTGGGTAGATCAATCTGGGTTGGAGGTTATTTTCTTTCAGGGCTTGGAATACTTCACTTCAAGCTCTTGATTTGATAGTTTGTGTTGAGAAGTCTGTCATGATTTTGATAGGTTTTCCTTTACAGGTGATCTGTTTTCTCTGACCACTTTCAATATTCTGTTCTTGTGCTGAATTTTCTGGGATCTGGATTATTATATGTCTGTATAGATGTACTTTGGTTACGGTTAGTTGGAGTCCTATATGCCTCACTTATCTGCATGCCAGATCCATTTCCCATGTTTTGGAAGTTTCTTCTATTCTGTGAATATCCTTTTAATTTCATTTGTGTTGAGTCCTACTTCTTCAATGATACCTGTCACTCTTAAATTATATTTCTTTGCATCATCTTGCAGCCATTGAGTTGTTATTTCCTGATTCCGTGTTATTTTTAAGAGATCTTCCCTTTCATGATTACTAGCTGCAATCCTGTCTTAAGGTTTGAAAGTCTATCTTCAGTCTCTTTCAAGAGGTTTTGCCAGCTTTTGATTGAATTTTTAATTTCCTGCATCTCTCTTTGAATCTGTTTCATGCATTGTAATTGCTTTCTACATTCATTCAAGGTATGCTCCTCTTTATTGTCTATGTCTTCTTTAGATCTGCTGAACAATTCTTTCAGTATGTTTGTGATTTCTTCTTTTACCTGACATTATTTCTGATTTGACTGCTTTTACAATCTCATGAAGTTGTTTCCATCAGTTGCGATCCTCTCAGAAATTTCAGGTGTGTGATTTCCATTTTCTTCTATGACTGTATCTCCCAGACTTACTGTGTATGGGCTAATGGTCTCAGTTTGCCTTTTGCTCCTTTGTCTTGACATTCTCCTAGGTTCCTCTCAACAAGCTGGTTGTGGTATCCCCTGTACTTCCCATGTTGGCTGCCCCTAAGCAGTGTAGTGGGATAAGACAGGCACCTGGGTTCCTCTAATTCCATATTTACAGGGAGATAGCAGGGTGTGGAGTGGGCTTGTCCGGAGCTATGCAGCTACACTGGGACCTCGCTGACAGTCAGGGGTGTATGTAGGTGGGGCTGCTTCTCTCAGCCTGTATGTCTACACTGGGACTACCACAGTGGTGGCAGCCACACAGAGGTGTGTTTGTCTGATTCCACTAGTGAATGATGGCTGTCTTAGGGAACCAAGGGCCTCAAATGGTGACCTGTGGATGGATGCACAGGGCTTACCTGGCTGTGTGTCCCTGCTCCTGCTAGCTGCCTGCAGGAAGGAGCTTTCTGGTGGCAGCTCCCTAAAGGTGAAGGTGGATCCCCTGGTTCTCTCTGCCCACACTGGCCATCTGAAGGACATGGCCCTTTGGTGGTGCTGCACAGGAGGCAGAGGTGGATCTGTTTCCTCAGCCAGCGCTGGCCATGCGGGGGGGGGGGGGGGGCTCCCAGTGGCAGCGCCCTGCAGGCAGAGGTGGGTCCCCTTCTGGTTTTCTCTGTCTGCGTTCTCTGTTGGTTGTTTCTTTTGCTGTGCAGAAGCTTCCTTATTTGACATTGATCCCATTTGTTCTTTTTTTTTTTTTTTTTTTGTCTTTTTCATTTTTATCGGTACCAGGGATCGAACTCACGACTGCCTGCTTGCAAGGCAGGCGCATATGCCGCTGAGCTAAATCCCCAGCCCCAATCCCATTTGTTCTTGATGTTACTTCTTGTGCGACTGGGGTTGTGTTTAGAAAGTTTTTGCCTGCACCCATGTCCTTGAGGTTTACCAAAACTGTTTTATCTTCCAGTAGATTATTTCTATCTTAGCATTTAGATCTTTAATCCATTCTGATTTTATTTTAGTACGTGGTGGGAGATGCTAATCTAGATTACAGGGTATATCTTTTCATTTTCTGATACTGTCTATGATTCTGTCTTTCAGAGTATTCTAGTCAAAATTTGACATTGCTGTTAAAAATGTTTACAGTGAATTCAAGCAATCTCACACTATCATTATTCTATCAGAGAAACCAATATCTGCATACTCAATAAATACTTTGCAGGATGCTTATATATATATATATATATATATATCTAAAGACATAAAAACAAAACTATTCTCTTGACAGTGATCACTAACTTTTTTTGGTTTTTTTTCCTTTTCCTTTTTATCAGTACCGGGGATCAAACTCACAACTCCCTGCTTGCAAGGTAGACGTTTATGCTGCTGAGCTAAATCCCCAGCTCCTGATCAGTAACATTTTTAAGCAGTACATCCAGTATCCAAAACACAGAAGTCTGCTATCAGTTAAACAAAAGCTTGATAAAGATGTCACCTGATTTGTATTATTAATTTGTTCAAATCAGTTCTTAAGAGTATTTATAACATGAAAGGAAGATATCACTCACACCTTTATGTTTTAATATTTTTTTAAATCTTAAAGAGCCCTTCAGGTCATGGCAGGTGGTGGCAGGTGAGATTATGCTTATAATGTCAGCACTTGGGAAGCTGAAACAGGAGGATTGTTGCAAAGTCAAGACCAGCCTAGCTGGTAGTTCAAGGTCAGCCTGGACTACATAACAAGGCCTTGGCCCAAAAAGCTCCTTTTGTGGGGAGATACAGTCTACACGAGTAAGGCAGTTATTCCTTAAAACATTACTACATTCAAATGATAATTTAGGGTGGCTGCTTTGCACACACTTTTACAGTGAAATTATTGTCAAAATTATAATGAAAAGGTCATATTTTCCGTAAAATAGACTGTACAAGCATTAAACAACTCTATATCCTAGTCTACTTACAATTTATTGCTTGGATTGGCATAACATATCTTAGAAATGCTCTGAAAAATATTACAATGAAATATTCAAGTTGTATTTATATTCATGACATACTAGGAAATACATATAAATGCTACATAATACTACTACAATGAGCACACTGCCTATCCACACATTGAAGTTTCAGAAATAATTGGCTGCTCCATTACTTAGCTCTCAAGTGACTTACAATAGGAAGATGGTCACTGTGTCAGAATGTCCTATACTTCAAAGTTGAGATTTCTTTTCATTACCCCTGTGGTAACTATTTTGTGAAGACATCCTTATAAATTTTAACCTTATCAGCTAGTTTAATGTGTAATGAACTATGTCCAGCTTTATAAGGATAACCTTAGAGAACTTTTTGCTTTGTTTTGGTTTTTTGTTAGGTTTGGTTTGGATTTTTGAGACAGAATCACAATATGTAGTTAGACCGATCTTGAACTCACTTTGTAGCTCAGACTGATCTTAACCTTGTGATTTTCCTGTGTCAGCCTCCTAAATGCTGGAACTACAGACATGTACCACCATGCCTGGGTAGCCTAATTTTTTTAAGAAATTTTCCACATAGCGACACATACTTATTGTAGAAAGCGTTTTAAAATGAAAAGTTTAAAAATCATTATTCAGTTACCCAGAGGTAAAACTAACATTTTTAAAGTATTTTACCCATTTTTGAATCTTTTTTTCATTTTACATTATTATTGTTATCCTAATATATTAAAATTTTTTAAAGTTTTTCTAATTGTTACCTAATATTTTGTCTTTCAAATGTAGCTTAATTTTATTTAGTCATTTTATTTTATTTTATTTTAGTTTAGTTTAGTTTATTCTTGGTACCAGGGATCAGACTCATGACCTCACACTTCCCAGGCAGATGCTCACACATTTTTACAATTACAGTAATAACCCTAGGACCATAGTTTTCTAAACCTGCACTTTTATCCATGTGTGTACAGGGTAGAATATAAAAAGAACACATATTGCTCTTGATCTCTGAATTGTAGTTATCAGGATCCATAGTTGATGAGCGATTACTATTCTTAGTTTGCCAGCTTTGTGTAAGAAGTATATATAATCCACTCCGGTGCTCTTTTCATTTCCAAATTACATAAACCCTCAAATGTCTGAAGTGCAGTGGTTTCAAGTGTAGCCTGAATAAAGTTACTGTATCAGGGCACCATGTTTGTCTCTTTTTTTGTCTTTGAGCTCTGAATTGCCAACAACCTCAGACTGGCTCTTTCTACTTGCTGGCAAAGCTGTAGGTTTATATCATGCTTACAGTTAGAAATCCCAACAAAAAGAAGGTGCTTTTGCAGAGCATCTGCAGAAGGAAGCCCTAGTGCAGAGGCCCTCAATAGAAGTGCATCTAACATGTCCAAGGAGCAGTAAGAAGGAAAGGAGAGACAAGAGCCTGATCACAGTAGGTTCAGGAAGGTCTCACCTTGATAATACTCAAGGTGGGTGTTACGGAGCTGTAAATAGAGTTACACACTGAAAGAGTTAAAGCTATTATGTTACAGTGATACATGCATACCCATGTTTATAGCAGCATAACTCATAATAGCTAAATCTTGGAAGTGACCTGTGTGTTGATCAATAGATGAGTGAATGAGGAAAATGTATTTACACACAAAGAAGTACTATGCCATAAAGAAAGATAAACTTGAGTTACTTGTATGAAAATGAATTCACCTTGAGACTATAGTGTTAAGTGAAATAAATTAGACACGCAAGTTTAATTATTGTATGATTTCTCTTCTATGAGAAACCCAAATTATAAATAAGAGCAAAATAAAAAACAATATGAAGTACAGAATGAATCTTGAATAGGAAGAGGATCAAGTGGTAAAGGGATGGGTGAGAAAGGGGATGAAAAGAAATTAACGTATTTCATGTACATCAACTCTAAACAAAGAATGAAAATATTATGCACTGCATACTTATAGTGCTAATAAAAATCCCATATAGGAATTTGAAATCCACAGATAAATTTGTCCAATAACCAGAAACTCTGCTACTCTTAGTTTCTACCTGGCTTAATGGAATTCCTTAGTTTTGTTTGGAAACAAAATAGTACAGGAAGAAGAATGTAGGTGTGGGATCAGTTAGGCCTGGGTTTTAAACCAAGCTTTACTTAACAGTTTGTTTTGACCAAGTTATTTGACTCCTCTCTAAGCCTTGGGTTTATCTCTTTAAAGAATAAAATGCCAAGAATTAATACCTCATCAAATGATGTAGTTATTAGCATTCTTTTTTTTTTAGGCTTTGCCATGCTGGGAATAATTCAGGCCTTTATCCTAAGCTACATCTCCACCTTTTTTTTTTTTTTTTTTAAATTTTGAGATAGAGTCTCTCTAAACTGCTTTAGTCCTGTATCACCCTTGCAAAATGCTGGCAATCCAAGCATATGGTGGCTCATGCCTGTGATTCCAGCACTCAGGAGGCTGAGACACGAAGATTGCTACAAGTTCAAGGCCAGCCTTAACTACATAGAGAGTTCAAGAACAGCCTGAACTATAGGGTGAGACCTTGTCTCAAAAAAATTTCCATGGTTTTCATAACATGTTTTATAGCCTCCATGGTGCTTGCCAGTCCATGGCTAAATTAGTTCCTATAAATACGTCTCCTTTATCTACTTGTACAGCTTATTATGTGTGCAGAAGCATTTTCTGAAATGATATCTCTTTTGAGCAACAGAAATAAAAATGTGAGTTATCCACCTTAATAAGAGCTAGATATCTTAAATAAAATTGTAAAATAAGTATCTCAAAGTAGTTTATTACTCCAGAACAATCACCTTCTTAACTTTTTATTGTTGTTACCATTAGAGACCTTGGGACTTTGGTGACTTATAGTTTACATGCAAGCGTTTATCTTACTGTGTCAAATAGCTTTTATTTTTGCTTTCTGTTCTAGTGAGGAGGTAGATTTGGAACTTCCAAGCACTGACAATGAGTATGTATCAACTTCTGAGGCTGACACTGTGGAACCCAAAGTGATATTTAAGGAAAAAACGGTCACTTCTCTTGGAGTTGTGGCAGATGGAGTGGCTCCAGTCTTCAAAAAGAGAAGAATTGAAAATGGAAAATCTAGAAATTTAAGGCAACGAGGTGATGATCAGTAATTGCAAAAGGTCTTTTTATATGTGTATTTTGGCTTCAATGGGGACCTTACACCTCCTAGAGCTTCTCTTCATTTATTTCTGAGTACTTTGATGATGAAAATTTAGATCTATTCTAAATGTATTTATGTGAATTAAAATTTTTTCGTGCTAAATTTATTTTTGTTCCTAAAATGGAAGACTATCACATTGCTTTGTAATACAGTGTATTATATTCATTGTCTACAAATTGCTAATTATGTCATAATTTAAGATGCTATGTGTCTGTTATTTAAAATGTAGAAAACTAAGACCCTTATTCCATTCTTACTCGTGTGAACATATTTATCCTACTTTGAAAATTCATTACTTTTGCATACAACAACAACAAAAAAATCAGGCCACATAAGAGTCACAGCCCAGTGACTATGTGGTTTTGAGGATCCTATCCAAAGGTTAATGTGGAAAATGTATGTATATTGTTTACCTTCCTCAATTTAATATCAAAGGCCAGAACCAAGAGCAGCTCAGGTACTTCAAGTATAGAGCTTAATTTGGAGTGAAGACTGAACCAAAGGTCAAAGTGTGTATTTCTGCCTGTGTTCAGTTTAAAGCTACAAACGCTGCTTAAGCATTGTGACTTTGAGCCAAGCATTGTACTAGAAACCAGGGTTGTGCAAAGAAACACACCCTTATTGTTCAGGAGTTCATCTTGTAATTTACCCCTTTTCTCAGGCATGCACTTTTCTTTGATAGCCTGTATGTCCTGGAAAATATTTTTAAGTTTTGTTTAAAGCTATGTAGAGGGGCTGGGGATTTAGCTCAGCGGCATAAGCACCTGCCTTGCAAGCAGGCAGTCGTGAGTTTGATCCCCGGTACCAATGAAAAGGAAAAAGACCAAAAAAATAAAAAAATAAAAATAAAGCTATGTAGATAAAAGCTTGAACCTTTAGCAAATATTTTTAGTGTTCAGTTATTAGAAATTTCCTATTTTCTGGTTAGATTTCTTAAAAAGTAGAATTTTCTTATTCTATTTGAAGTAGGTTCTTTCCATTACTTTTACAAATTTATTGTAAAATTATATTTTTCATATATTGTACAGTATTTAACTTTTGGTAGCAAACATCTGTCTTTTTACTAGTACTGGTGTACATACAAGAACAAAATATCTTATTAAAGACCTCATAAAAAGGTAAATTCTGCTTTTGTTGAATGTTTTCAGTTCCCATAATGATCTATCATTTTAGCATTGATGAGATAGAATTTGGAGATTGTCTTTGCATTTCAGTCTGTTTACTTGGGTACTTCATGTATATAAATGCCTAAATGTTCCCCTCAGTCGTGAAGAATATTTTGTAGTTTGAGATAGTAGCTTATTTGTCATGTACTGAGCAGAACATTTTGGTACTTTTTTTTTTTTTTTTTTTTTTTTTTTTTTTAGGATGAGATCTCGCTGGCCCAAGTCCTGGGCTCAGATGACGTTTCTTCCTCCTCCTCCTCAGTAGCTGACACTATAGACCAGTACCCAGCCCTTGATTTTTTTTTTTTTTTTTTGTAGCACTAGCAGTTAAACCCAGAATCTTGTGCATGCTAGGTAAGCACTATACCAATGAGCTACATTACCAGCCCTCTTACTTTTTTATATTTTTACAAATGTGTTGGTAGGTTATAAAAATGTATTTTATTATAAATATAGAATTCTTTAAAAATCCCAGTAATCTCTGACCCTCTCATCTTTGATCACTTTGCAAGTTCCCCCAACACCATGTTAACCCTGGTTGTATGTGGGTAACTTTTATGACCCTTGAATCCATGCACAAGGTACACACTGGCGAAATACTTAACGAAGCATGGTCCAACACTCAAAAGTAGTTTTATGATTTAGTGCATTCTATAAATTCTACGAACTATACTAGGAAGCAGTGGTACTAGTTATTAAGTAGAATCGCTGTTCATACGTAGGTGCATCATATATACTTGCATAAGTTAGAATTTGTTTCTTGGTTTCATTGCACCAATACTACACTGAATTAGTTGCGTGTTTTTGTAGTATGTTTTAACTCTGTTAGAGCAAGTATTGTGATCCTACCATTTGTTTCTCAAAGTATTCATATCTCATAGGCATTTGGTATTTCAAATAATGTTTTGTCAAGTTGTTGCTCTTTTCCAAAAAATGAAAACAAAAAAATACGCTTTTGTACTACAACTATTGAGTAGAAGTAGCTGCCATCATTCTGACATTCTCCTCATCAACTTGTTTTTTTCATTTAGTCAATTCTTTTGTGTCCTTTTAAAGTCTTGTAGGGGCTGGGGAGGTAGCTCAGGTGTGAAGCACTTACCAAATGTATGCAAGGCAAGCCTTGGTTTCAGTCCCCAGCAATGCAGTTTTTAAAAAGTACTCTTCGTGGGGCTGGGGATTTAGCTCAGCGGCATAAGCGCCTGCCTTGCAAGCAGGCAGTCATGAGTTCGATCTCTGGTACCAATAAAAAGGAAAAAGACCAAAAAAAAAGTACTCTTCATATAGACAGTCTTCATCTGCTTTATTCCCAGTATATAAACAGCACTTGGTTCATCACAAGCACTTGATTTTTATTGTATAGATGTCTTTTTTTTTTTTCTTTTTTGCACCGGGAATTGAACTCACAACCTCATGCTTGCCAGGCAGGTACTTATGCCACTGAGCTAAATCCGCGGTTAGATGTCATTTTTCATCTGTCAAAGTCATAGGTCAAGTAATTTGATATTGGCAAAGAAGATGTGGGAAAAAGTGATAATCCTGTACACTGCTAGCAAAATTACGTTTTTTGTATTGTAATTTTCTTTTTTATAGTTCTAACATTTAAAAAAAAAAACTTTCTGGCCCCTTCCCCACAGGCTATCCCCTCAGAGACAGCAAAAATTTTGAAACATTCACATGCAAGCCAGCCAATCCCTAGTCTATATTGCTGCCTTTTGTATAATACTGTACACGTAAGCCAATACTGTCATCCTTTGTGGGACCAGTGGTAGCCTCCCCCTTCCAGCAGTCACTTATATAAATGGTGTCCTTTCTGTAAAATTGCATATTACCTGTACATATATACTCTAGAATACTTTTAAATCATCCCTATATTATAATAACTAATACAATGTGAATATTATGTAAATAGTTATATTCTTTAGGGAAAATGATTTTTTTAAAAAGTGCATATATTCAGTACAGTTTTTTTCTGAGTACTTTTGATCTGTGATTGGTTGAATCTACAGATGTACAACCCACAGATACAGAAGGCAAGCTGTAGTTCATTTGTCTTAAATTATTCCACAGCCAAGTACCAAGTAAATAGAGCCAAACCCATTACCCAGAATCTACCAGGATTATTCAGACTAGCCAATCCTAAACTATTTACTCATCTGTGCCCTAAATTTCCCCCAGAATTCTCAATGAGGGCTCAGGCCAGACTCGCCTCCCTTACACCCACCATCTTGCCTTCTGCTGCCTGATCAAAACCTGGTGCTTCCTCTGTGGACCTATGTGGCATATCTTGGCATTCTGTCTGGGACATGTGGTTCCAAGCTTCACTTTCATTTCCTTGTGTGGGCTTTTCCGTACTATAACCAACATTTACATTTTTTTTTGTTGTTGTTTTTGTCTTTTTCCTTTTTATCGGTACTGGGGATCGAACTCATGACTGCCTGCTTGCAAGGCAGGCGCTTATGCCGCTGAGCTAAATCCCCAGCCCCAATATTTACATTCTTAAAAAGTGTATATTGATAAAATATCTATAGAGAATAAATGTTCAAAAAATCAAAATTTAAAAGCATTTATTTCTTTAAATTTGATGCATATGAGAGATGACAATAAAACTAATGGAGTCAGAAATTGGTCTGCCAATACAAAATAGTTCAAATAATTATGCTACATCCATTCACTGCAACACTGTACCAGCCGTTCAAAGAAAAGTTTTGTATGTATTTTCTTGGTCTCATTCCCAAAATAAATTATTAGATCAAATAAGCAATACCTAGAACAGGAAAAATAGTACAAGTTTAGTACCAGTCATTGCTAATCCCTGTTTGGTTTGTTATGTCTTTGTTTTTGAATCCCTGTTTTTCTCTCTAGTGGCTGTTTAGACTTGGGCAAATTATTCAACTTGCCTGTGCTTCAGATTTTTATCTGTAAAATAGTAAAAATGTCTACCTCTAAGACACGTTTGAGAGATAAAAAGATTTAATGTATTTATTAAGTGCTTGGGAAAATGCCTGTCATACAAATAGCAACTCAAAATCTTAGTTATTCTCTATATTAAAAATATATGTGAAGGGCTGGGAATTTAGCTCGATGACACAAAAGTAAAAAGTATGGATCTTAAAAATTAACACGGGGCTGGGGATTTAGCTCAGCGGCATAAGCACCTCCTTGCAAGCAGGTGGTCGTGAGTTCAATCCCTGGTACCGATTAAAAAAACAACAACAACAAAAAATTAAAAACACACACACAAAAAATAATAAGGATCAAATTCCTACTTAATAGCGCAATTACTCTGCTCTTCCCAGTTCTCATCCTGTGCACTGCAAAAGCTCACTTACTTGCAAAGTTAGATGTTCTTTAGTTTGAAATACTTAGTTGTGTTAAGATATCTTATGATCCCTTTTGCAACAAAGAAAAGTCTGGGTTTTGATTCAGGCTGATGGGTATTGATTAGGAAGGAAGAAATAAAATTGGCAGTCTTAAGTGCTGATAAAAAGAGTTAAGAGTGATGCACATTTATAAATACTACCAATTTTTGTGCTGAGTGGGGTAAGGTATGTTAAAATTAATTCATTGGGCAGGGATGGTAATGATTAGGCAATGTGAATGTGCTTAAATGCATTGAAATGTATACTTAAAATTAAATGATTAATTTTTGTGTATTTGACCTAAATACAGAATTTAATTTGCAAACATTCTCATTAGAAACATCACTCACTGTTGCTAAGGAGAAAAAAAATTCATAGAAACATATTTATTGAGTACTTAAAAACATATTTATTGAGTACTTTTTTTTTTTTTGTACCAGGAATCAAACTCAGGGCCTCATACTTGGCAGGCAAGTGCTGTACTGCTGAGCCACATCCCTGGCCTGAGTACATTTTTAAAGTTTATAAGCTCACTAACCCCACTCTCAGCTTTTGCCAGTCTAGCTCATTCTTCATAAAGACTAGCACAATTACTTCCATGGAAAATTTTTTTGTACCTTTCCCTCTATAAATCTCAATATGTCAAATCTGTTGGCATTTAAATCTCCCATTTCATTTTCCCAGTCTGCACTTCTTTTAATTGGTTACATATTTCTATTCTTAAAACATTACACCTGTATTATAGCAAATTTAGAAAATAGAAAGTAACAGATTAATTAGCCTTACATGTTCTAATTTGCCCTGGACAACTCAATTTTTACTTGTAGTTCAGCGCAATTATTAACAGAGCCTCCCTTTCACTTTCAAATATGTCCTGATTAACAAATCATGGTCATGCAACTTAGGAATAAAAGTAGTCTAATGGAAAATTCTTTTCCCAATGCTAAAGTTAAGAATTCTCATTTCTCCCCCTCATTTCTGTCCTCTAAATCTCTGTGAGAAGAGTAACAACCTTACTTGAGATCCAGAGGAGGAAGTACCTCATCCCACATGCACACACATACACAGGCCAAGTTCAGATTAACTATATGTTAGATAGAATTTGCCATATCCAGTCCCTACTGCTCTAACCTTTACCACTCAGCACAAAAACTGTTAATACTTACAAATATGCATCCCACTTAACTCTTTTATCAGCACTTGAGACTGCCAATTTTATTTATTCCTTCCCAATCGATACCTTTATTTTTTTTTAAAATTAGTACGTTTAAAATAAATAATGAATGCATTCATTGTGGAGAGTTGGTATACATACATATTAATTCTTGATCCTTTTTATATTTCCTTCTTTGCCCTCTATCCTCGGGCCCCTCCCCATCTCCAGTCTTCTCTCTCATACTCTTTTATTTTGGTCTTTTTAAAAATACTTTGGGTTTCTTTTCTAAGAGATACAGTTTTATATACTTTTCTTATTGCTGAGACAATACCCAACACCCAAAGTTAAAGGAGGAAAGAATTATTTAGCTCACAGTTTGTAGAGGTTTCAGTCCATAATTGGCTTGTTCCAAGGCCGGGTGGCATGGCAGATAGGTATTGTAGAGGACAAATAGTTTGTGGTAGGCAGAAGGCAGGAAAGCAACAAGAGAGGGCTACGCTTCTTTCTATCCCTTATATCTTATTCAGGGTACTTAAGGCAGATAGCCCTTGTTGCTAGCATTGCACCATGAATCAATTCCTGTGTCACACACTCTACATCCAGTCACCTCGGAAAAAGCCCCACCCACCTATGATTCCATAAGGCTTTAGAGAAACATCTAGACACAAGCAGTAACAGTATCATGTGATATTTAATCTCTATGTTTATCCATCTGCTGATGGTCATATAGGCCATTTCCAAGATTTAGCTATTATGAATTGTGATGTGATTAGCATGAAAATCATGTATGACTGTAATGTGATCTTTTTAGTGGGAGAAACCAAGAAGAGATGCAGCTTGATCAAATAGAATTTCTTTATAGTTTTTTAAGGAATCACCATACTTACTTCCATACTGATTTTTCTAGTTTACCTCCCCACCAGCAATATAGAAGGGTAACTCTTTCACCTACAACTTTCCTAGAATTTCTTGTTTTTTGATGATAGTCATTCTTGCATAAGATGGAATCTCAGTGTTGTTTTGATTTACATTTCTTTAATGGACAAAGTTTCTGTTTTTTCATGTACCTGTTGTACATTTATACTTTTTGGTTGGGTCTTTCATTTTGAGGGGTCTATCCCTCAAAGGCTGTAGGCTGTCTTTTTGCTTTGTTGGTTTCCTTTCCTGTGCAGAAGCTTTTTAAATTCATATGATGCCATTTGTTAGTTGTTGGTGTTATTTCTTGTGCAATTGAGTTTCTGTTCTGCAAGTCCTGGACTGTTCTTATGTCTTTAAGAGTTTTGCCTATTTTAGCTTCCAGCAGATTCAGTGTTTCTGTTTTTTATATTTAGATGTTTGATTCATTTTGATTTGATTTTGGCTCAGGGTGAGAAGTGTAGGTCTAGGTTCATTCTTTTCCATGTGGATAGCCAGTTTCCCCAGCCCATGTGTTACAAAGGCTATCTTGTCTCAGACTTTTTTTTTAATATGAGCAGCTTTTCCTCCTCAGGTGCTTCCACCATGCTATTTCTGCACTGGAGCCAGCCAACTATAGCCTGAAAACATGAGCCGAAATAAATGCCCTCTCCTTTAAATGTGGGTGTTGGATATAGTGTCCCAGCGATGAGGAAAGTGATTAAAATAAGGTATCTCTTACAGGCAACATATGGTTTGATTTGGTGTTTTGCTCCAATCTACCAGTTTATATCCTTTGATTGAGGAGTTAAGCACATTTTCACTGAGTTCTTATTGTAATCTAGTTACTGAATCCTGACATTTGATTATTTTTCCAGTGCTGATTCCTTTATTTTTCCCTTTTGTTTGCTATCCAAGTTAGACATGTTCTTTCCTTTGGTCTCTGTGGTGCTGGTGGGCTCCCTGTCTCTAAAGATTCTCTTCAGCATTTTCTGCAATGCTGATTTAGTGGTCATGTATTTTGTTAGAGTTTTCTTTGTTATGGAATGTCTTTATTCTCTTTGAATTTTGCAGGCTAATTTTGCATGATATAGATATCTACACTGTTGATATATATATATATATATATATATATATATATATATATATATATATGACTTCATATATATGTATATATGACTTCAAAAACTTTATTCTAAGCTCCTGACCTTTATTTAAGCTTTATGCTAAGAAATTTGCTGTTGACAGGTTTGTGTTTGTAGGTTACTTGCTGCTTCCCTTTAATAGCTTTTAGTATTCTGTCTTTTTGTTAAATTTCTGGGATTTAGATTATGTGTTACGGAGTTCCTTTTCAAGTCATGCCTATTTGAGGTTCTATATGCCTCTTGTACTTGAATATTGAATTCTTTCTCTAGATTTACAATTTTTCTGCTATCATTTCAGTAAATACATTTTTATATTTTAGTTATATTCCTATAATTCAGAGATTTTTTGAGTCATGTAGTTTCCATGGTATCTTGTTTTTAAGATGTATCGTACTATATCAAATTTGTTTTCAAGTTTTGACACTATCCTCACCAAGGTCAATTCTACTACCTACGCTTTCCATTAAAATTTTCACAGCCTGAATTTCTGCTTGATATCTTTTGATAATGTTTAATTTTGCCAAACTTGTCATTCATATCATGATTTAATCAGCTTATTGTTTGTTTCTTCTTTTAAGCTCTTTGAACATTTTTGGGGATGATACTGCCAATCAAACTCATGACCTTGCACTTGCCAGGCAGGCTGAAACATTTTACTAACTAAATTCTTTGTTAGGGGCTGGGGATTTAACTCAGCGGCATAAGCACCTGCCTTGCAAGCAGGCAGTCGTGAGTTTGATCCCTGGTACCGATAAAAACGGAAAAAAAAAGACAAAAAATAAATAAATAAAATAAATCCTTTGTTAGTTTATTTAAATCTTTTTTGGACTTGCTAAATGTCTTACGAATTTGCTTGTATGTTTCTTCTTTGATCATTTTGACTTTTATTTTTGAGTTACTTGCCTTTCTCTTCTTCAGTGTCTGTGAAATGGTCTTTGGAGGAGTTAACACAAATCATTTAATCCTAAAGGAACTTGCCTCTTGTGGGCCTGACCTAACCAAGTGAGACCGTAAGAAAACAGCACTCTGCTGGTGACATATATATCACACATGAAGGAGTGTAATGTAAGAAAATTCCTTACTGCTGGCTTTCGGATGGAGAGGCTATGTGTCCAGGAATGTGTAGGCACTGAGACCTGTTTGTGGCTCACTGCCAAGAAGGGAAGGGGGACCTCAGCCCTCCTCATGTATGAAACTGCTAATTGTTGGTTCACTGTGTCAACTTGGAAAGTTTAGTTAAAAGAAGTTTAACTAAATCAGCTCAGCAGTTCTACACATTAGGGTATAGAAGACCTGCCTTATGGCAGCTCTTCACCTGGATGGTATGAAGGAGACTGAGGAAGGATGGAACTGCTTCTGCTCTTCAGAGGAGGCTCCAGTTTTCGCCTTCAGTTTGGATGTCATCTCCTGGTTTCTGGAGCGCAGCCTTGTCAGCTTCCATGAATCCTTCAGCCTCCATCGCAGACCCATTGGCCTCCTGATACGGACATGCATGGGACACTGCACAGAGCTCCAGACCTTGGACTGAATCCATCAGTCTCCACTGTGCAGATGCCCTCTGCACTCTTCCAGTCAACTTTGTGGGTGGCCACCATCAGCCAGTCTTGTCATTTCTTATATGCTTGTGTATCTTGTGCTTTATGTTTGTCATGTAAAACCCTGACTGATATAGCTAACAAGTTGAGTAATTTTACAAGTGGGTCTTCCTCAGTCTCCAAATGGGACTCTGTCAACCCTTTTGATTTTAGCCTTTGAGACCTAATAAAAGAATCTAACCTAAACCATCCTTGGACTTGGAACCTACAAAACATTGAGCTAAGAAACTGTAGTTTTAAATCACTATTTATTGTATTGTATTAACATGATACATCTTTCTTGCATTCTTTTACTTTGATCTTACCTATGTACTATTTAAACTATATCTCTTGTAAACAGTAATATTTGAGTCATATATAATAATCCCATACTGTTTGTTTTTTTAATTGAATACTGTTTGTTTTATCCTCTTTTATTTCTCTGTTCATCCCTTTTTGGACTATTATCTCATTTTCTAGTCTTTAATATATATTTATTTAGTATTATTTTACTAGTTACTCTATAGCAGTGGTTCTCAAAGTTATTTTCATAATAATTCTAAGTTGTAATGTTTGTTTTTCACTTATTTTTCTTGTGAGTGTAACATTTCCCAGAAGCTACATGGCATGTGATACTGTAAAAGACTTAATACAGGACATATGTCAATTCAGCTATATTCTATTAAGCAATTGTTATAAACTAAACTGTGCCTCTTGTACATTAAAGCTCTAACTCCTAATACTTCAGAGTGTGACTCTATGTGGATATGTGTGATAGTCTAAGGAGGAGTAAGTTAACGCCTAGAGATAATCAACTTTTCAAAAGTCATGCATTAAAAACCAAGTTTATTTCCATGTATTCCTTGCCTTTCATTCCACTATTTCATATATGTTTAATTTCTACATATTTTAAGCTTCTAAAGTTGTTATTACTATTACTGGTGTGCACACTGTTTCTTTGTATTACTCACATATTTAGCTTTTCTGTGTTACTGAATCTTTCCTGGGGTTCTTTGTTCTAAGCAGGGTCAGTGCCGTCTATCTCATCAATTCCTTCGGCATTAATTGCTGTACTTGCTTAGGTATCTCAGCTTTTATCTGAAGTGTCACATTGTAAAGGAGGATATTCTCACTTACAGTGACCTATAGGCTGGTGTTTTGTTGTTGCTGTTGTTGTTTTAAGTACCTAAAATATAATGATAATTGTCTTCAGGCTTACAGAGTTGCCACCAAAAAAGAATACTGATATTTTTTTCTTTATCTGCTTTTCAGATTTTCTCTTTGCATTTATTTCTCACACATGTTTTGTGATATGCCTTAATGTAAAAGTCATTTTGTCTTTAATATATTTGAAGCTTCTTGAGGCTTTGCTACGATGACTTTCATTGGTGTAGGGAAATTGTTGCCAGTATTTTTCAAACATTGCTTCCACCTAGCTTTCTTCTACCCAAGAATTCTAGTTTTGATGGGTTAGATTTTTCATCATGTCACACTGTCTCTTAAAGTTTTCTGGATTTTGCATCATTTTTATCTGCATCAAAGTAGATACTTTATACTTACCAATGTTTTTGTTAGTGACCATACTATTTTTAACCTATCAAATCTATATTTTGAATTCCTAATTTTAGATACTTTCAGAAATTCTTATTTTCCTTTTAAATTAACATATTACACACATCAGTCATCTCAATCCACCATTCTACCTTAGCACCACCAACTCCCTTTCCTCCTAGCCCTTCCTAGTCCTCCATTTTCCTTCTCTTTATTTTTCAGTTTCTACATAAGAAAGAAAACGTGATACTTGATTTCTATGTTGGGGTACTACCTATTTTGACTAACTTGATGTTTTCCAATACCATCCATATTGTTTTTAAAAGATCATCATGGGAAGTATGTGGCAAAGGAAAGCACATCACCTCATGTCAGCCACAGCCATTAGGGTCACCATGAGAGGAAGGAGCACGCTGTGACTGTCCAGCAGCAGCCGCCAGCCCCACACATCAGGATGAAATCTGTCTCCCTCACACGGCTGTGATGGCTCCTTCCTGTTCAGCTCAGAACAGCACCTGGAGGCAGCATGTTGACAGTGGGCTCTGCTCCACACTGACCTGCCCATCCGGAGCCTCCTTGAGTGAGAGAAGGGCACACAGGCTGGCAGGGACAGCACTCAGCAGGGTAGCCACCCTGCATCCATCCATCCAGTGGACAGGACAGGCTGCTTTGCTGAGAAGTTGAGTTGTGGGGCAGGAGAGCCGTGCTGGGGCAATCTCTGACCCCTGGTTCCCTCCCAGGTACTATGGTGGGCTCTCTGATGGTTGGTCCACCCTCCCTTCACGTCAGGTCTCCTATAAAAGGTCCCTGTGTCATGGCTGGGAGGGGAGTACACCATGCATGGCCATGCGACACCACGCCACACCCTGCTCTGCTGGAACATGGAGTCACAGGATCCTGTCAAGGTTGTAAACTCTCAGCTTCAGTAATGAGTTAATGAATTATTTAAGAGTCTGAAATTAAGACAGCATTTTGGGAGAGAGAGAGCTACCATGGGAGGATATGTGGCATTAGAAAGGAAGGCCCATGAATTTTCCCCCAGCTCCTTTCCATTTAGGACTACTGATTTCCCATTCCACCCCCAACCCCCATGGGTGCCTTAGAAATCGCTGCCATGACATACCTGTAATCCCAGGACTCTGAGAGGCTGAGGCAGGAAAACTTCAAGTTCCAGCCCAACCTGGGCAGCATAGCAACTTAGTGAGAGCCTGTCTCAAAAACTAAAACTAAAATTTAAAAAATGTTTGGGAGGTTCCGGGAGAACATGGCGGACAGACAACAGCAACTACCGGAGGCTCTCTGAATGGCTCGGCTCAGAGGCCAGGAATGATGCGGACTAAGGAGACACGAACCGGTAGAGATATGCTCTGCTGACTCAGGAACGAACTGGGCTGAGAGAAACCAACTTAGAATACAGTCCTGGCGCTAAAATAGGAACAGAAAAGACTCGATGTGGAGGCTCGACCCCGCGCCATTGGAAACCGCGATTTGGGTTTCCCGCCGCCCGGCGGCTGGCTGCCTCCACAAGCGGCTCAGCAAGGAGAGATGCGCAGAAGCTCTGGGAACGGGAGTCTGTGAACGGAGTCGAAAACAGAACGGACAAGGAGGCGTACACGAAAACTGACTGGTGGCGAGGTGAGTGAGAGAAACTGACTCCAGCGGAGGACTTTCTGGGCTCTGGCAGTCCTGTAAGAGCAGGGCGCGGTGGCGACTCCAGCCACACATTCCCCTCTCGGACGGGATTGGTGAAAAGTGCCTGGCCTGCGTGACGCTGCTGGCGGACTCCCTAGGCTGACCTAACCCAGATCCCAGAGCCTGACAGTGGCCCGGAGGAGCGACTGACTCCCGTGTAGGCTGCCTCCTCCGCAACTCCCTGGTGCGCAGCGATGGGCGGGAACAACTAGCCAGTGCAATTTGATCAGGCTGTGGCTGACAGGCAGGGAAGCCGGGCCTCCTATGTAAGCTTGCATTTTATAAGGAACAGAAAATATGGGGAAGGGAAGCAACAAGAAAGGCTCCTCGGCCCCCAATCCTGAGAAACAGGCAATAGTGGACACCGCACCAATATACATTAAGCGCCATATAGAGAGCCTCATAGACCAATTCAGGAATGAAGTTATCAACGACCTGAAGCTAGAAGTAAGCAGAATAGTTAGAGAAATGCTAAGCACCACCCAGGAAAAAACAGATGGTGGAATGGAAGAACAGAAAAAGAGGGGAGAATTGCTTGATGGAGAAAACAGAGAAAGCATTGAGTATGTGAAGCAGGTTCAAAGGGACTATCAAGAAATTAAGAAGTCTATCCAAGACTGGCATAACAGCTTGAAAGAAACTAAGGACAGACTATCTGAACTGGAGGGCAGACTTGAAACATGGGAGAATGAAATGAAAAACTTCTTAAAAATAACAAAGAAACAAACAGCAATGATACAAAGACAAGAAGATGATAAGAGGAGCCATAACTTAAGGATTAAGAACATAAAAGAAGAAGTAGGGACACAAGTGAACTACAAAAGCTACTCACAGAAATAATCCAGGAGAATTTTCCTAATTTAGCAAAAGGTAAAGATACTCAGATGTATGAGGCATACAGGACCCCAGCTACCTACAACCCTAACAGAGAAACACCCAGGCATATAATAATAAAAATTCCAGAAATTCAATACAAGAACAGAATATTAAAAGCTGTAAGAGACAAGAAGCAGACTACTTACAAGGGAACACCCATCAGAATTACAGCAGATTTCTCTTCACAAACCATCAAATCACGAAGAGCATGGGGGGAAATAATTCAAGCTTTGAAACATAACAATCTCCAGCCAAGATTGAGATATCCTGCACAACTGTCCCTGGAAATTGATGGAAAAACGAGGTGCTTCCAGGATAAAGAGGAACTGGGGGAATTTGCAACCACCAATTCAACCCTACAGAAAGTATTGCAGGATATTCTAAAAAAAGAAAAATACAAAGAACCCAGAAATAGTGGCGGGGAGGCCACAACGAATGGAGCAGAGAACAAAATGAAGAAGACAAACTGACAGCTACTGACAGAAAAAGAGCTCAACAGAAATGAGACAGAGAAGATTGGGTGATAGGAACAGCTATTTTGGAGAAAATGACATCTTAATAGGTAATACTGATTTAGTACCATCTTGTTTTGAAGTCTCATCTAGCTTTTGTTCTTCTGTCTCCAATGGTCTAAACAGGTTGTATCTTATTGGATTTTATTATGTACGATAGTATAAGCAAAAACCTTTTAAAGACAAGGAGATTATACAGAAACCATTGTTCATTTTCTGTTAGTCGATTCTAAATACTCTATAATGCTGTCATTCTCTTAAATGGTTTTACATTGTTTTGATATACTTAATGCTACAATATATGAAGTTGTACTCAAGGACTTCAAGGAAAGAGTCAATATGGTAACTACTTTTGGGTCGGAAATATCTGGTGGTGAAACACTATTCTGCTTAAATGGTTATGTTTTGATCTGCCCTGTTTCGCTGTTATGCCCTCTTTTTTCTCAATCTCCACTCCATTATTTACTTTTTTATTTTTATCCGTTTAATTAAAGGGAAAAAATACCAGGATATAATATAGTAACCCACTTTGACTTTCTATTATCTCGATTTGAAGCCCTGTATTACTCTCACCATCTTGTTTTTGACTGAGGTTCCTCTATTCTGTTTTGCTGGATAGTATCAGGTTCGTAAGTTTAGGCATCAGCTGAGAAGATAATGAGATTCATTATAACGCCCATTCTCGTTGACTTTTATCTACTTTTGAAGACCTACAATGTCTCCAATGTTTTGGATTTGTCGGTTTTATTCTTTACTGTTTTGTTCAATTGTATTACAACTAATGATATAGGCAATTCTATTAGAGATAGCGGGAGGCATTATGGTAACCATTGTTGATCACCTTGTATTATGTTTTTATATTATCTATTATGTCCACCCTGTTGACTTGACCGATTCTGTTCTGTTATGTCACATTTGGTTTTACTCTCTTCCAAAAAAGCAATAAGAACCATGGGAGCAATGAAACCCAAAATGTGTAATAGTCATTGTACAAAAGAGAGGAAAAGAAAGTGCTCTAAACTATATAACTGCATGTATATTTAAATGTATAAGATAGAAAATGATATCACAGAGTTTTATTGGATCATTGAACAGAACTGTTTGCAGTATC